ACATTATATTTCTTAAAATACTATATATTTACTTTGGTTTATTTTTCATAATAAAAGATTTTGTAAAACCCCTATGATGCATTCTAGAATCTAATAGAACATATTTTAAGTAACGGATTAATTCATTTCAAATTTTAAGATAACATATAAATTAAGGTCAGCAACAAATTAGATTCTAAATTAACATATTCGAGATTCACGTTTAACATATTGGAAATTATATTCAAAAAACCTTATAAAACACCGGTCTAATGTATTCTAAATTCTTGTCTAACATGTTCGAGATTCACGTTTAACATATTGGAAATTATATTCTAAAACCTTATAAAACACCGGTCTAATGTATTCTAAATTCTTGTCTAACATATTCGAGATTCTTATTAAACAATAAAAAACTATATAATTAATATTATATATTCAAAATTATTATATATTCAACTAAATTATATATTCAAACAACATATAATATTGTGTTCCAGCGTATTCAATATTCAAATATTTCAAGTTTCTCTTTATATATTCTTTACTGTTTAACATTGATGTTTATCTTCAATGACAAAACTGTAGATTTTTCATGAAAATATTTTACCATTTTTCAAATTGCAGAAATTAATAGAGCCATTTTGAAATAAGTATAACTTAAACAATTTAACAAAAGTCTTTTTATGGGAAATTTCAAACTTTGTTTCACACAAAAAGCTAATAATTCCTCTACCTAAATATTTAATTATACTCATTTTATTCTTAAAGATGTATTTCTTCTTTGAAACCCAAATGATTAAATGTCTTCGTTGCATTTAGTTTAACTTGTCACACGTTTTCTGGTATCCATCGTTACTTATTAAATTTTCTTTCTAATTAAGAACGATATTCCCAGTCACTTAAAACTCTCGCATAATATTGCTTAATTGTTTATTTCTGTTTATCTTGAAGAGAATTCTTGGATAATTAATTAATGATTGGAGATGTGTTCTCTTACTTGTCTCACTTCTGATTTTCTTCCGAAGTTTTGGTTGCAGTGATATAAAGCACTTTAGCATTTACATGGAAGCAATTATATTAATTACTTTAAATGGTGGTACCATTTTTTAAAAAAAATCTTATTAGGAATTTAATGATTGTAGAAACTTTATCGTGTTTAACATGCTGCTTAAAGACATATATCTAAATATTGGACCATACTCTTAAATTTAGTTAATTTTAACTGGAACTAGTCATTAAAATGAATTTATTACATTTTAATGTAATTTTAGTCTTGTGCATGAAATAAAATCATACATTTCTATATTTTTTTTCTTTTCTTTTTGAACATCATGTCACAATTTGTTTGTCGATGTTGTTGGAAAGAAATAAAAATAATTTATATAAATGTGCGTGATAACTTCTATTTCATCACTCATCTGCTTGCTACTATATTCTAAAACCAGTTTGGATTTGTAGAAGTTTCCATTTGCTTGTTCTTTTATCTTTCAACATTTTACTTTTAACACAGAAACAAGTAATATAAAAAAAAAATAAAATCAATTCCTACTTTTTTTCCCTATATTGCAGAAAACCTCTTAATAAATAATTTTCATTCATTTTTTAAGTTTATCTGCCGTCATCTATTGGTAGATACATGCAACTTAAATCTAAAAAAACTAAAATTATTTAATTAAATTTAATTAATGAATTGATATTTGAAAAAACTGTATTAACATCAAGTGTCATCCACTGCAAGTTCAAAAAAATTTATTTGAAGTTGATTGGATGAATAAAAAGTATTTCATGAACGATTGAAAATTTGGACAAGATATACACTCATGTCCATAAATTAAGGATAATTCAGAATCACACAGAAATTGAACTCTAAAATAAAAATTTCACCTGTAGAATTATCACACACAGCTTGAAGAAGAATATGCAAATTACAGGAAACCACCAGATGGCGCGGATAGTACGTCACAATGACGAGAGTGTAAGACAGGGGTATATAAGGAATGGTGGCAAAGAAGTAAAATTGTTCACAAGCGCTTTAAAAGTCTTTCAGTGCAATAACCGCATAGTTATGGCACAAAGGAAGCATTTTGATGATTTTTTACGTGGTAGAATTATCGGACGACTGGAATGTCGACGTACCCCGCTGGAAGTACCCGAGGAACTTCGAATCGCCCAGAGTGTCATCTCCAGGATTTGGCAACGAATCCAAGATGATGGTAATGTGAGTAGATGTTACAGCACAGGTCGCCCCCGAGTTACAACGCCGAATGAGGACCGATATTTAGCAGTTACTGCCAAAAGAAACAGACGGAGCACAGCATCAGACCTGTCTCGTCAGCTCTCTTCAGCTACCGGTACGACAGTTTCAAGGCAGACCGTGTACAGACGCTTAGGTCACATTGGTTTATATGCTCGTAGGTCTGTCAGATGTGTTCCACTTACCGCAACTCACCGTCGCCTGCGATTAACCTGGATTAGAGAGCATGCATTGTGGACACCGCAACAGTTGTCTGGTGTGATATTTTCCGACGAGTCCAGGTTTAGTTTGCAGTCTGATTCTCGCCGGACTTTCATATGGAGAGCGCCAGGTACCCTTTACCATCAAGAGAACACAGGATGAGAGATGGCTCGTTTGGGTAGGAATTATTCTTGGTTCCAGAACTGACCTGCATGTTCACAGTGTAACGATGACAGGCCACATATATCGGGATGTCATTCTGGAACAACATGTACGTTTGTTTCGGGGCGCCATGGGTGCTGAATTTCTGTTTATGGATGACAACGCCCGTCCTTACCGTGCAAACATTGTAGACGAATGCCTTCAATTGGAGGATATCACCCGTATGGATTGGCCAGCATACTCACTGGACTTCAATCCAATATAGCATGTGTGGGATATGCTTGGCCAACGAATTGCAGCCTGTCAACCCCCTCCCACCTGTCAACCGGAACTTCGGAGGGCATTTCTTGATGAGTGGTGTAATATTAACCAAGATCAGATTGATAATTTAATACTGAGAATGCCTAGGCGTTGTAAGGCCTGTATTGCATCGTCCGGGAGACATACTCCATACTAACCATCATACTAACCATGTTATACTGTTTTTTGTAAATAGGCTATTTTTTGAAATTTGCTCCAGGGAGTAAAAATCGCAATTTATTAATTATGTCAAACATATAGCATCTTTTTTTGCTCTTTACCTTTTGTTTAATAAATAGACTTTACAAATAAGTCAAATTTGTTTTGCTTCTGTCTCTTTCTTTGCCTGAACTTCATTATCCTTAATTTATGGACATGAGTGTATATATAGGGAAAGCGTGAGCTAATAGAAGGAGAAAAATCTCCATTTCTGCTTAAGAAAGAACTTCCAGTTGTCTTTTGGAAGGTCATAACATAAATTTCAAAAATCTTTTCGCTATCAATATAAATAACACATTGATGTATAATTTAAAATTGATATAATTTTTTTTGGAGTGCGTCAGTTTGCGTTAGCTTTTTTGCGATTCTATAAATATTTTAATAAATGATTTTTTTAAATATTTATTTTATTTTTAAATATTAACATTTTGTCAAAGTATCCTGTATAAAAATTGAAAAAAAAAATATCAGTTAACCTATCAATTTTCAAAATCTTGAATCATTTTTCAACCTTAGTAGTTTCTATAAAATTCAATTAAAATTCCTTTCCTATATCTTAATCACAATTTAACAAGAAAATGGATGGTATATTTGACTAATCAACTTTCCCTCACAAAACCTTGACATTTTATGCATTTTTTACAAGAAATAAAAGAGCCATTAATCTCTTTAATAGGAGTCAATATTCTCTTTAGAAAGATCTTCAACAATGGCTATAAAAAGTGATTGGCGATATTTGTCGCGTTGAATTTCAACGCAAAACTCCGATTTAAAACTATGTAAAAGCTTGTGACGCGAACGTTTCAAGCATCGAATCGGAGGAGATAGCAGCAATATTCTTTACTTAGTCCATCCTCATTGCCTGTAAGGAGGAGAAAATGGAATTACTTTTATTGTGGGGAAGGATGCTTTATCAGGCTTTAGTGTTGTTGTGTAATCTGGAAGTATTGACACTCTTTAACGATTAGGTTTTGTATTTTAGGTCAGAATGTGGGATTTCCTTTTGATTTTACAACTGATGGTGTTTCCTTTGTAGTAGAAATATTTCTGGAAATTGTTTCTTATTCAATTGCTTGAAGATTTATGGTTTATTAATTCAACTGACTTTAAAAAGAAATTTAAAAGTAGTAGAAGTAGCATTAAGGGGTTTTGCTGTTTTGCTGCATCTGATCCAAGACACATCATATTTTATGGGAATGCAGCTATATATGTTTTAAGTTGATGTTTTTATATATTTGAAAATATATGTGACTGTGAATTAGTTTGAGTATTGTACATTTATATCATTAATATAAAAACCAATTTTTTAAATAGATTTAATATTGGTTATTAATATAAAAAATGGTTTAAATTTCCTTTATATATTAATAATTTTATTTTTGCTGATTTTTTTAATAGTTTTAAGAAACATGTAATCTTATTCTCTTATTCTATGGCTAGAGAGTTGTCTACGAATGTTAAATTATGGAATTTTATGAAAATAAATCAAAATAATTTTTTAATTGTATAGTGTTTAAAATTTTGATCGAATTTTTAATGGTAAGCTTGCCCAAAATATTATTGTGGGAAATATGATGTATGTAATCCAGTTGAAAAATATTAGCTGCATTAATTATTAGATACTATTTTTGAAAGCTTAGATTCTAAAGACATGATACAGAAATTGATTTACATATCAATTTCTTATAGAAATAAATCTTCCAACACAAAACTTATTTAAAATGTATGTATTTATTTAGTTTTAATTTATTATCCAAAATTTTCTACTGATTGTTTACTCTAATTCTTAAAAAATATGAATCTGTTCATTATAGTAAATGTATTATATTTTATTTAAAATGTTTATTCTATTTTCTGATTATTCTTATTTATTTTCCTTGAATCGGTTCTCGTTAGATCACCGAAGTTAAGCATCATTGGGCGCGGTCAGTACTTGGGTGGGTGACCACCTGGGAACACTGCGTGCCGTTGGCAAATTTGGGACCTGAATGGCCGAGTGTCTAGCGCTCTGGCGCTCGGTGCCACAGGTTTCGGGTTCGAATCCCGGCGGTGCCATGGATGTTTGTAGTGGTTCGGAATCCACTTTAAGCCGTAGGTCCCGGTCTTCTATGACTGTAAGAGCGTCACGGAGCAAAAGTCAGGCTTCTACCTACGGGTGCTCCATCACAACAGAAGCTGCTTCCTTCCCCTTCAATCATGAGTCCATATGGGCTTGTGGGCTTGGCCAGCCAAGTGGGATAAGAAACAACAAACAACAACAACATTTTCCTTGAATAATTAGCATTTAAGAAAATTTTTACCTTATGCTTATATGGTATGGTGAGAAATTTTAAAACAAATGCGCAAAATTCTTGCTTTTCAGAATTTAAAATTGTCGAAATAAAATTACTGAATTTTTTTTAAACTGTTCAGTTTTTCAACTTTTTAAATTAAAATCGCCCAAAATATTATAGTCTGAAATAAAGTGTATGGAATCCAGTTGTAAGAATATTAGCAACATAAATTGTAGACAAACTAAGTTATTACTAGACTTACAAAGTTCTTGTAGAACTTTAACAGTTTATTTTATAAAGTAATAAGTTTATTTGAAGTAATTAAATAATTTAAGTATTTATTTTATAAAGTAATAAGTTTATTTGAAGTAATTAAATAATTTAAGTATTTATTTTATAGTAATAAGTAATAATTTATTTTTTTGAGTAGACTTGATTGTGAGTTGGGCTTATTGACTTTTTAAACTTAGTTAAATGATTAATGAAATAATTATAGAAATAAAGGATGATCAACATATATAATTATGTGGATGTCACGTTTTTTATTGGAAAAATGGCATGACAAAATATGACAAGCTTTGATATGACAAAAATATAGTTTATAAATTAAGATTTCGAACAGATTTATTGCAAAAGTCCAATTCCGTTTTCAAGACTCGAAAATCCAGTAATAACAATTCTTCCTAAAACATCATAAGAAACAAATATCTATTTTTATTTTCCTCAGTATATCGAAGAAAAAAATTCGAAGAGTTCCGATGAGATGAAATATAGAACATATTTTTCTAAACCTGTAGCCAAAAGTAAATATTTCAACACTATTTACCTTCCCTATCTGAGTTGATTTTACTGTCCTATCTTTAGAGGAGATGTGGAGAAACTATTTGTTGAATCCAAACATACCTTTCAGATCCAAACGGTATTTCAGTCCGACATGTACCGAAATCACCTTAAATAGTACTCTTTCGATGGCTGCCAGAAACATCTAAACTCGAAAACCGGAAACGGAAGTTGAATTATGATCTGTCCACTGATGAGTGTCATAATGCCAGAAAGATCTTTCCCCACCAAGCAATTGAACACATCAGAAATAGAAAAAAATATTTTCCCCGTTCCAGCCTTAGCAAATGTGTGGATCTCTTGTTACAGAAAATGAGCAAGTGTAGCGGAAAAAAATGTGATCCTTATGGTCATCAGAGCGAGAAATGTTACGGCTAATCGGTCTGTCCTGCATTTTTACCGTTTCTGTTAAGACTTTCGAGCTCTTTGAGGATTAATATTTGCTTTAAATGGCTTGTTTTATATCCGTTCATTTCATTTAACTAATTGAAAAACGTGTAGGTTGTATTTGCTAAGGGAATAATTTTCTTATTGATTTTATGAACTAAACCGTGCAATGTTTTACAGTTTATGGTTTTGTTAAATATATTGAATATTTTTATTTGTTTATACTCCGTCCCCATTGAGCCATAATTATAAGAAATGGTGCTATTATTTATCTTTTTCCGAGATAATTTATTTCTATCTTGGTGTATTTCAGAGTGGAATGCAAATAGTTGATATGAGTATAAACCATTGTTGAAATATGCTATAGCTGAAATATTAACTACGTAATGGTTATAATTAGTGCATATTTTTGCTGTTGAAAATACAAATGATAAAAATAGTTCAAAAGGAAATTAATATACAATTTTAAAAATTGTGTACAAAAAGAAACCACGCATTACAATTATAAATTTAACATGAAAAATTTTAAAAATTTTAACAAATTTATTAAGGAAATGTTTTTTTTTTTAAATATTTACAATATTATTAAGGAAATCGTTTTTGAAATATTTAACAGTATTGTTAAAAACAATATTTTTTAAATACCAAAAGTATTAAAAAATATTTCCTATATAATATAGCAGTGTGCTTCTATTTGTTGAGAAATGTTATTTTATTTTATTAATATTAAATGACGTTAGATGGATGTTAACTCCACTGGAGTATAAATAAGGCATTTCAGTCAGCTAGAAATCTCAAACAATAATGCAAATCTTGGAAAATTAAAAATAAATAAAGAAATTATCTAAATTGAATTTTTATGACATATAATATTTTATTTTCTAACTCCCCTTAAACTTCCAAGTGTGACTCCTCTGCGTTTTTCTTAATTACATGGAAACTCATGAAGTATTATCTCTTTTCTGGTTTTGGATGATGTAAGCATAATCCTAAATTTAAGAAAAACAAGAAATCGAAAATACACCCTCCCAGAAATAAAGTAAAATAAGAAAACCAAACCTCCGCTGTTCTCCGAAGTTCCCTGCGAGGAATGAAGCCTGAACAGAACTCCTGCGCAACATTTTCCGAACAATGGCCACGCCAATCGGGAAGAAATTCATTCTTTTTTGCACCTTCCTTTTTCAGCATGCATAAATCCATTTCAGTTCTGTTCGCTGCCAGGTACATTTAAATTGGATTTCGAACACAAAGCAAGTTTTTCTTCAAATTCTCTGTATCCGTGACGGTATATTCCGTTCCCTTCTGTTAAAGAAGTGACTGGGAAAAGAAATGAAACGCACTTTCAACGCTGACACCTTACACAAGCTACTCGAAGCACCGTAAACTTCCTTTATGGAATATATTTCACTTTTCAGCGAACTTGTGCGAAGGAGAGGGGAAGCATCGGATCGCGTTGTTGTGACGAGAAAGTACAAATGAAATGCTCACGATGAAACATAAGTTTTTACACTTGTTCAACGCATTGTTTATTGTGTTTTTATTCGCTTTGTATCACTTCTGTGTGAATTTTATTTCCACACTGACAAAATGTGTTACTTACCTTTTTCCAAACTGCGTTTTTATTTCCTTTTTAACAGATTTTTGCATTTCGAAATAAAAAAAAATAACCTTCTGGAGATTTCTCATTTTCCATGGCACTATGATTGTTTTGTTAGCTGAGAGTTTGCCGTCAATTCTGAAATTAATAGCTTCGCTTCAATAGCTTCGAAATAGTTAGTTTATTCTAAAATAGTTAGTATGTTCGAAAATAGTTAATTTGTTTAAATATATTTAATAGCTTCAAAAGTTTCTAATGGTTAATATATTCATGTCTACATAGACTTTCTACTTGAAAGCTGTCTTTTTTTTTTTTTTTTTTTTTTTCCATTTTAAAGTTATAAATTAGTGTATCTTACTGAAGTTTGTTGACGGAATAGTTGCATTTGTCCCTTTAAAATTAAAGGAATCTGACCCAAAAAATACATGTTTTAAAGAACAAGAAAAATAAAATTAAAACCATTTATAATATATAGAGATATATAAAGCAAAGCAAAATAAAATAAATATAGATAATGTCAAACGATATCAAGATTCAATTGCTTGAAAAGTAGTGCCTTATGTATTTTTGGAACTTGATGTTAAGAAGATACAATTCTTAAATTATACTCTATTTCTGTGAATTTCTTAAATATTGGGATTCTCCTTATCAATATTAATTTTTATTAATATTTTTTCTGATCTATGTTTTAAATGAAATCATTTAATTTATATATCATTAATAATAAATTTCAACAACACATTGATTTATATTGCTGATTTATGATTTTAAATCCTTGATAATTAATTTGTTATTGTTGAAAAAAATAATTTCGAATATTATTAGACCATTAAAAAGCCTTGACACCTATTATGTTATAAAATATGTAGCCCGCTTAGAGAACAAAAAAATACAATATAGAGTAAAAATCGCCAAGTGAACAAGCAAAATGGTTGTAGCAGTTAGTTAAAAAGATAAAACCGTATTACGTAAATCTAATGGTACTTATACAGAGATGTATTAAATAAAACTAAATAGAAATTGACTGAGTTGAATAAGCTTAAATATATACGTACAATTTTGAAATAATTTTAATTTATCTGCTTTTTACATTTGCCTTTGTAATAAAGTATTGATATTGTAAAAATACTTGCATGTACTTTTTGTATTTTAGTTTAAAACATACATCATTAATCTTAAAATTATAAGGAACAAAAAATATTTATAATACTTAATGTATAAAAATGTATGTCACTCAAATAGTATTATTGTTTAGAGTGTTTTTCATTTAGTGAACAATAAAACTTTATCTCCAATTAGTTGTTAAAATATTTAGTGTTTTTTAGTTTTATGTTGGATTTAAAAGCATAAGAACATTAGGAATATGAAGTTTGAGGACTGTAAGAAGTTATACAGTTGTGTCTAAGAAGTTTTTTAGAGTTTTTGAAATGTTCCTAAAATTTAAACATACGTTTAAATACATTTTTAAAACTGCTTTCTTAAATGAAAATTTTGTAGAAAAAATAATTTTAGAATAATAGTTTGAAAATACATTCTTGGTGAAATAAATGTTATTTTAAGTAAATTGTAACTATATTTTCATGAGCATTTAATTTGATATTATTTGTGTTTTAAAATTCTTTGAAACGTCAACATTTTTGTTTATTTATATTCAGTAAAAATAAAACAGAGATAATGTGTTTAAATGCTTTATTTATCTGTTAATAATTATAATAGTTTTTCATTTTCAGACCTGGAATATCTTTTCTGGTAAGCTATGCTTTACTCTAATTGTGAAAGCTAAATTCATAAAGAAAGCTTCAACGCTCAAACATAATCGGAGTGAGGATACAATAATTATGTGATTTTTTTTTTGAAATCATAAATGATTGCA